GCCAAGCAGAACTTGGATAACTGTGGTTCGAGACCAGATCTTACCAACAACTTAACTGCCGTCTCAGAAGCACAGCTAAAACCACGAAGAAAAGCTAATACTGAAAACACTACAGGGCTTTAAAAAATTCCCCAGAAAAACAGTTAGAAAAAAAATCAGAAATAAAAACAAATTCTTTATGTGGCACATAAAGAAATGATGTACAATAGAAAATGCATTAGGTTTTACTCCAAAGAACAAAATTGACAAATTACAAGTTGCCACAAGAGGGCAGCAGCATGCTGTTTTCTCCATCCATTGCTGGAGCTACAATGGCCATTGTTTGCAGTGTAGAGGTTGGAGCCTAACCAGCAAGTTACTCAAGGATAAAAATTTGTACAATAGAACCCAACTTGATGAGTGTTCACTGGTAAATGCTGGATAGCTCTCAGAATTTGGAAGCCTAGCCAACTTGATCGAACTGCTGTAAAATTCTCAGCCATGTTTTCAAATCCTTCTGTGAACCCCCCACACACTTCCCCCAATCTCTAACTTCAAGCCACCCAAGCACCAAGATTTCTGCCATTCCTCCAAGTCTGGCCTCTTGCACATCTCAGGTTTCTACCAAGGCAGCTGAATAGAGGCCGCTAACTTTGAAAAACCTCTCCATCACTCTTCCTTAAAGATGTTCCTGACCAAGTACCCCTCTATATACAACAAGGTGCAGGGCTGGATGAACACAGCAGGCCAAGCAGCATCATAGGAGCAGAGAGGCTGACGTTTCGGGCCTAGACCCTTCATCAGAAAAGGGGGAGGGGAAGGGGGTTCCGAAATAAATAGGGAGAGAGTGGGAGGCGGATAGAAGAGGGATAGAGGAGAGGATAGGTGGAGAGGAAACAAACAGGTCGAAGAGGCAGGGATGGAGCCAGTAAAGGTGAGTGTAGGTAGGGAGTTAGGAAGGGGATAGGTCAGTCCAGGGAGGACGGACAGGTCAAGGGGGCAGGATGAGGTTGGTCGGTAGGAGATGGAGGTGCGGCTTGAGGTGGGAGGAGGGGATAGGTGGGAGGAAGAACAGGTTAGGGAGGCAGGGACGAGCTGGACTGGTTTTGGGATGCGGTAGGGGGAGGGGAGATTTTGAAACTTGTGAAATCCATCATGTCCATGTCCATCCTGGGCCTCCTGCAGTGCCACAACTATGTCACCCGAAGGTTGCAGGAACAGCAACTCATATTCCGCTTGGGAACCCTGCAGCCCAATGGTATCAATGTGAAACGTCAGCCTCTCTGCTCCTATGATGCTGCTTGGCCTGCTGTGTTCATCCAGCCCTGCACCTTGTTGTCTCGGATTCTCCAGCATCTGCAGTTCCTACTATCTCTGATTCAATTTTAACCCCTCTATATACATCCATCAAATCCCACCCTGTGCGGTCGATAGAAGTAACAAGAGAGACAGATGCACAAAACTGTCTGGTGAGGGGAAAAAAAATCTCCAGCATGTATTTAAAAAGAAGAAACAGAGGCAGATAAGAAAATATTCTTTATTTAAAATCTATTTTCCTGTATAGAGTTTTACTTTATACAACACAAGTGTAAAAAAATGCAAGACTGAGGAAATGTATTTGCTAAGTCCTCCCCAGCAGCAGGGGAGCAACCACTGAGTCTGCAGAACAGACAACACAAATATCTTAACCTAAACCAGAATCTAGTCAACACAGGTCAGCAATCCCCAGCAATATCCTGACCTAACAAACTGGAGAAAATGGCAGATAACAAGGTGTAGAGCTAGATGAACATCTAGGCCCGAAACGTCAGCCTTCCTGCTCCTTTGATGCTGCTTGGCCTGCTGTGGTCATCCAGCTCTATACCTTGTTATCTCAGATTTTCCAGCATCTGCAGTTCCTACTATCTCTGGAGAAAATGGCAGTGGTTCATATGTGTGTGCAGCACACCCTAATTTCTGGAGAGCTTCGAGGAAAATCTCTCTACTTTTCCTGAAGACTTTGCTGGTGGAGCACTCTCCAAAGGAGGAGGAGGCGGCAGCAGCTCAGGATAATGGGATTCTTACAAAATACCCACACTTCACAAATTCACACGGCTGCTCTGTATTTCAGACAGTACAAATACGTCAGAAAGAGCTGAGTGTGTTTTTGTTTTATTGAACTGAACTGCCCAACCCATCTGTGGCTGAGAACGTGGGATTGAAATTGGGATATTGCCACTTGGAGGTTCAATATTACTTCTGGGAATTTATCCAAATGAACCCACAGTACTATCACAATCAAAAACAACAAAAAAAAAGACAAAAAGGACAAGTCAACACAGAACGCTACATGAAAAAAGACAGAAGTCTGAAATTCAGACTGAAAAAAGTCAGAGAGAATGAAAATCCTGAGGAAACCCACAGTAAATGTGGGGTCTGTGTGTGAACACTGAATAAAGACACTGGAAGTGTACAAAATTGCTGGGTTTGGATACTCCCTGAAACAGCCTTGTTCTTGCACAGTGTGAGCTGATTAAGGCACAACTACCCCAATCCAAAAGAAGGCTCACACATTACTGAAGTCACTAAATTCACTGCATTCCTAAATGAGTGCTTTCCTTTTGGCCAGATGGGGAGGTTCAACGAATGTGTTCCAGACACACTCGGTGGTGTAGTTTGTGAAAAGTGTTGTATTTTCAAACCTCCGAACACACCTGACCTGCACAATACAAAAATACAAAACCTCTACTTCTAGAAAACAATAAGAAAGAAAACATTAATGTCACAGATTCAGATCAAAATCACTTTACAAAATACAGACTGAAATTGGAAAGTGCTGAAAACAGTAAGCAGAGTAGGCTGCTTCCATGGAAAGACAAAAGACACACACAGACACGCACACACTGTTTTCAGGAAAGACCAACTGACACATCATTAACAGTCTCTACTCTATCCAACAGGTGCTACCTGACTTGCTGGAATTTCGAACACTTTCCACGTTTAATTTCAAGTTCCCAGAATCCGTCGTATTTCACTCACATCTTCGGATTGTGGGGTTTCTCTACATTAAGCCCCTGCAAACAATATCTACCCATCTTCCTTTTCCACCCACTCAAAACACTGGGCACGGTTGCTACACAAATACTTTACCTAACTTCGTACAAGTAAAAGATACATTGAAATGTGAAACAGGCAGTGATTCAAGAAACTCTAGTTGGAGGCTCACTGCAAGAATTTGCTGCAAGGGCCAAGTCTAAACAAGACAGTAACAATGGGCAACTCATTAGTCTAGTGGAGTTGGAGGCACCAGCTCTGCACTTTCTGTGGAACTCTTCCACATGCTTGGGCTTTCAACCATCAAAAAAAAAAAAATCAGCATCACCTACCCACCACCACCGGCAACAGCAGGAGGCTATTGTGCCTCATATCAATGAAAGCTTGACCATTCCATCCCATACCACAGGTGTGGTCAGTTAGCTCAGTTGCTTGGAAGGCTGGTTTGCAATACATGGTGACAGGTTCAATTGCCTAGGCCAGCTGAGGTTACCATGGGAGGTCCCTCATTGTCAACCTCTCCCCTCGCCCAAGGTGACCCTCGGGTTAAAACACCACTAGTTGTCTGTCTCTCTCGCTCTCTGATCTTCTGGGGCAATGGTGACTTTACTTACTGTTATTTCAGTTACATGGATGGGTTGGAAAAGTTGGGTGCGTTCTCCTTGGAGGAGGGAAGTTTGACGGAGGTCACGTGGAGAGCTCAGAATCTGGAGGAACGTGGATGGAGCAGACCTGGGGAAACCATTCCCGCTTGACAACCAGAGGAAGGTGATTGGCAAAAGGCGAAAATCATTAATGATTACAACTGAGTATGCACTGACAGACCATGTGGGGGAAAGCAGATTCAATTGAGGATTTTAAAAAGGACTATTATGTGAAAATGAAAAACATGCAATGGTACAGGGAGAAGGCAGAGAATGCTCCTAGGTGACTTCCTGAAGTGGAGAAAAAAATTGGAAGCTAGTCTCAGTAATAATGACCATGAAACTATCAGCGTCAAGAGTTTTACAGCATGAAACGAGGCCCTTCAGCCCATCATGTCCATGTCAGTCATCAAGCATCTATTGTAATCCCATTTATTGCTGTAAAACCCTCTAGTTCACTAGGGAATTCTCCAGGGGAAGGAAATGTGCTATCCTTATCCAGTCTGGCCTACTTGCAACTCCAGACCACAAAGATATGGTTGGCTCAAAATTCCCTTAGAGGGCAATTGGGGCTGGGTAACAACAAAAGAATTTTTAAAAAGAGCCAGCACTGATATGATGGGCCAAATGGCCCTCTTCCATGCCGTAATCAGTCCACTTTGCTCATATGTTGATGGGCAATTGGCAATTGAGGTCACCCAGGTATGGCTGTAGGAACAGGGTCACTGTGCTAATCAATGGCTCCTTTTATTGTCACCATTTGAAGAGGATAGAGGAGCTTAAACATTTCACTGCAGCCACAGGAGCTCCTGAGGACGGTTGGTCAGAGAGCAGTTTTGGCAGAAATATATAAATAAAAGAGGTAAAGACCAGCGAAATTCTCCCTTCCACTTCATAGCAGACAGAGTGCATCCCTAGGCTCACATCACCTTCTCACAGAGTCACTCACCAACCCTCCTCTGACACAATCAACCCAATCTAATTAAAAAATATCCTTCAAAAAAAAAAAAAACAACTTAGAAACTGGCCTGGCATCCAAGAAGGAGACACACTGCACTAATTGTTCAGAGAATTTCCAACACATCCAAAAGGCAGGTTACTAGCTGTAAAGCATTTGAGGGGTGTCCTGAGGTTGTGAAAAAGGACCTTTTCCTTCTTAAAACAGAAATCTAATCTTCAGATCCTTACTAACCCCTACAAGTTCTGGTTCTGCTTCCCCTCACTGTGGGTTCAAAATGCCCAAACTTGGCTTTTGGAAGATGGCTTTAAAAAAGGAAGAGCCAAGTTGTTAGCAGAAACATGTTTATAGCAGATCCACGACTATAGCACTGATATAAAAGCTTAAAGTCAGGGTGCCTGAGCCAGATCTGGTGAGAGGTAACTGCAGAGAATTTCCTTGTGCAGCTTCAGAAGCTGCTTAGAGAGTAGAGTCTGGTATCTTACACAGGGCTCATCACAATTCCAATGTCATTCCATCCATCTTGCATTCAGCTTTTGCTGGGTCTTTCATTAGCTAGATCTTGTTGTGTGCAGGTGACCTAGTTCTGAACCTCAGTCTCTGGTCTGAGAGTCAGTAAAAAGGTACAGTCACCGTAGTCTTACCAGGTTGTAGGGCTGCTTGGAGTATGAGAGAGCATGAGAAACACAACTGGTGAGGGTCACCACAAAATAATTCAGGCAACATATAAACATCTCAGGCAAGGGGAGAAACTTGAGAAGGGGGGTCTTTCATGGCAACCTCGGCACTAAACATGTGAAGTATGAGGGTATGGTTGAATGCACCAGACATGGTCTGTATTGGGACTTCCCCATTTTATGAACAATTAGAATAATAGATCACATATCCACATTACACAGACAAACACAAAGTGGAGTGCCAGTGAGGCTGAAGTACTGGCTTCCAGCATTGCTTTCACACAACAGGACCTGCTAAGGTAGGGTGCCATAAACAAAATGAAAACTTTAATTAGGATAAATGTCTCAATTGCCTTGGCCTCCGGGGATCTTCAGGCTCTGAAGCAATGGCATGCAATGTGCATCACAGCCCCGTACAAACTTGTTGCTGCTAGATCTTGTGGAAAATGAGTAGGGGTGGGGGTAATGACCAAAAATCAAACAGCGTTGGTACTGAGTACTGGAACCTTGGAAAGTTCACCAGCCTATCCCTGACCACAGAGCAAAATTCAGAGCTAGGTCACCTGCATTCAGCTTGTCCTTGCAGCCTATAAAACTCCCTGTCATCTTCGACGCAAAGTTCCCCAAATTACACTTGGTTGCGCGTAATGAACTGTTGGAGGCTCCACAATAAAGTCCAATAAAGGTTTGATCAGCCACACAGGGTTTCAAGGGGAAGAGTATTAAGAAAAAGAGAAACACTCATAAACCAGTATGCAAAATAAATTACTTTTTTTTTTCCATCTTATGCAAATATAAATGTAAAGTAACATACAAAACACCTCCCCACAGCAGAGTCCAACTTGACACTGTTGGGAAGCTTATTTGATGTAAAGCTGATTTCCGATCTATTGGCGGAGAGTCAGTTATCAAGGGGAGCATTGGGTTTGATCCCTCCTTGTCCCACTCGCAGCCAGGGTAGCTTCTCCCTGTTCTTGAACAGCTGCTCAATGGCAATGTAGCGTACGTGTAGCTCGGAGGACAGAGAGTCTTTCTTTTCTAATTCCTGTGCAAGATCCTCAAAGACCACTTCAAGAAGAAAAAAAGTAAATAAATTAGATTGGTTTCAAGTACAAGAGAAGGGGCCGTTCTATCTTCTTCTAAAAAGAAAATTAAATGCTTGCTTCAGGTTCAGCTGGAGCATTGCCGCCAATTCCACGTTTTGCACTAGTTTTTGGATTGGCGCAGTGGTTAGCACTGTTGCCTGACAGCGCCAGGGTCCTGGGTTCAATTCTAGCCTCAGATGACTGCCTGTGTGGAGTTTGCACATTCTCCCCCTTGCCTGCGTGGGTTTCCTCTGGGTGATCCGGTTTCTTCCCACAGTCCAAATGTGCAGGTTAGGTAGATTGGCCATGCTAAACGCAGGGTGGCCGGGATGGGCCGGGATGGGGCGGGATGGGGCCTGGGTCAGATGCTCTTCGTAGTACTAGTGCAAATTCAAAAGGCCAACTGGCCTCTTTCTGCACTGTAGAGGTTCTATGCGCTTATTTTACATTTTTATTACAGCACTTCTTTCAAAATCATCCACATTGCTGTAGTATCTGCAGTCACATAAATGGGCTTGTTTTAAATTTCAGACCTTATTCGCAGTCTGCCACAGTGGGATTTGAACCTTTGTTCTCAGATTTGGAACCATGTCCCTGGGGCTCTGGATTACTTATCCAGCAATGTTACCACTGTGTGACTGCATCACATTTCAGAAAGGGGTGTCAATGCCTTGTAGATGGTGCAGAGGTGAATGCTAAGCGGGGTACTGTGTATGAGGGACATCAATTAAGGCGAGGCGATAGACTATTGTCGTTAGGCTGTTAATCCAGAGACCCGGGTACAGTTTAGGGGATCCAGATTCAAATGCTGCCAGGGCAGATTGTGAATTTGAATTCAATAAAAAATCTGAAGTTAGGATTCCAATGATGACTCTGAAAACCATTACCAATTGTCAGGAAAAACTAATCTGGTTCAATGTCCTTTAGGGAAGGAAATCTGCCATCCTTACCCAGTCTGGCCTACATGTGACTCCAGACACATAGCAATATAGTTGACTCTTAACTGCTCTTAGGGCAATAAATGGTGACCTAGCCAGCGATGCCTATATCCAGTGAATGAATTTAAATAAAAACGTTAATGTGGAAAGAGTGGAGACACTGGGATTCTCCTCCGTGGAGCAGATCATGGACAGTTTATCAGAGATGTTCAAAATGGAGGTATTTTAACCACAGAGTGGTTCTTACTGGCAGAAGGATCAACAACCAAATGGTAAGGACTGAAGATAACTGGTAACCAAGACAATTGGTCAAAGAAGTGGGTGAGAGGAATTCCTTTCCTTAACCACAAAATAAATTATGATCTGGAGCACTCCCTTAAAAGGTGGCATAGGCAAATTCAAACATACGTTTTTAAAACTTGGAAATCAACTTCAATGTGGAAAGTTCACAAGGCTGTAGGTAAAGCTGGGCAGGAGGACTAATTAGGTAGCTCTTGTAAGGAGCTGGCATAGGTAAGATGGAAAGAATGGCCTCATTCTATGCTGTCCACGTCTCCTCACAAGGCATTGATTCATTGTACCAGAGACAGTTCAGATGCTGTTTGGAGATAAATATCCATCAGGACACCCTGGTTAAGTCACTTGCTTTCCTTTAGGGAGAGACAGCAGGAAGAAGACGCAGGCAGGGGAGAGTGAGCCAGCAGGAGACGGGAGGAGAAATGTCCTAAATGCCCCTTAAAGGCAGCTGGCCTTATTGATATTAATTTTTAATTTGACTCTGCGTCTATGCACTTACATCACAACATTTATTCAGAGGCATAGGCTCCAATATGCAAATTAAAATGAAACAAAGATGAGAGTCCGAATCTCTTCAATTTATCTCTTTGAATCACAGTCAGTGCTATTTTTAATAATTAGTTGTTAAATTGAGGCCACACCTGCAGTCTCAGATGGATATAAAAAGAATCTCGTGGCACTATTCTGAACAAGAGGAGAGACATGCCTGGTCTCCTGACCAATATCTAGCCCTCAATCAAACCACTAAAACACATTATCTGTCAATTATCAATTTGCTGTTTCTGGGAGCTTGCTGTGCATATATTGGTTGCAGCATCCCTCATATTTACAAGATTGGCCAAACTGGGATGAAGAAAGAAATTGTACAAAACAAAAACAATACATTTTTACAACTCTTTTCTGTAAAAAATCACGAGATATTAATTTAAATTCTTAAATTCTTCCCAGACCATGCAGACATGGTTATATACCTTTGATTTGTTTGAGGAGTTGTTCATTCAATGGCACCAGATCATCCACCGACATAGCACTCACTGAAAGAAATATCAAACAATGTTAGAGCTATCGTAGTGACTGGTATAAGCAGAGGTAATACGGAAAATCTTCTTTATATGTAACTCCCCGTAGTCTATATAGTAAACATGACAGGCATCTTACACTGGGTACTATGCACTGACATAGGAACATTGGCAATGTAGCTATGAGAAAAACCTGGGGGATAAGTGACCATAATGTGGTAGAATTCTTCATCAAGATAGAGACAGTAAGGTAGTTGACTCTGAGACAAGGGTCCTGAATCTTAATAAGGGAAGCTATGATGGTATGAATTGGCTATGATGGATTGGGAAATGTTACTGAAATGAAAAAGTGAATGCTTGCATTGCCAGTCCATTGAGTGAATGGATAAGCTACAGAAGTGATTTATTCCTGTCTGGTGCAGGTGAGGACAATCGCCAAATCATGGCTTATGAGGGAAGTTAGAGATAGCATTAGATGCAAAAAGAGGCATACAACAGGACAAAGAAAAAACAGTAGACCTGAGGATAGCTAACAGTTTAAAAGTTAAAGGAGAACCAAGGGGTTGGTTAAGAAGGGGAAGGGAGAGTATGAGTGTAAGCTTGCAGGGAACATAAGGACTGTAAAAGTTTCAATTGATACGTAAAGAGAAGATTGGTAAAACTTGCAGCTCCCTAGAAATGGGGCAATTTATAATGCGGAACAAAAATGGCTGACAAACTAATTTTAATACTTTGCTTCTGTCCTCACAAAGATGGTCACAGATAACTTACACCAGAAATGATGGGGAATACAGGGTTTAGTGAGAGGAAGGCACTGAGGCAAATCTGTATTAGTAAAGAAATGGTGTTGGAGAAATTGATGGGATTGCAGGCTGATAAATCCCCGGGGCCTGATAAAACTATGTCCCAAAGTACTTAAAGAAGTGGCCCGAGAAATAGTGGATGTATTGGTGGTTAACTTCTAAAGATTCTTTAGACTTTAGATATTAACTAATTTAACTCCACTATTTAAAAAAGGTAGAGAGAAAACCAGGAATTATAGACCAGTGAGTCTAACGTTGGTAGTGGGAAAGATGCTAAAGTCCATTATCAAGGATTTTATAGCAGAGCACTTAGAAAACTGTGGTAGGAACAGACCCAGCCAGTATGTACGTACGAAAGTGAAATCATGCCTGAAAAATCTACTGGAATTCTTCGAGGGTATAGCTAGTAGTGTTGATCAGTGGATGCAGTTTATTTGGACTGTCAGCAGGCTTTTGATAACTTTACACATTAATTTCTTATGTGGGACTTAAAGTATATGGGATTGAGGGCAATATATAGAGATGTTTGAAAAATTGGTTAGCAGGCAGAAAGAAGTAGGAATAAATGGGCCTTTTTCTGAATGGCAGACCGTGGCTAGTGGGTTCCTGCAGGGATTGGTACTAGGACCCCAGCTGTTCATGAGATGTTAATGATTTAGACAAGGGAACTATATGACGAGGGACAGATGACATGAACCTGGGTGGAAGGACGAGTTATGATGAGGATGCAGAGATGTTGCAGTGTGATGCGGATAGGCTGAGTGAGTGGGCAAATGCATAGCAGATACAGTACAACATGGTTAAATGTGAGATTATCTGCCTTGGTAGTGAAAGAAAGGAAGGTGGATTATTATTTGAATGGTTGTAAATTGAGAGAGGGAAATGTTCAATGAGACCTGGGTCTCCTTGTGCACCAGTTGTTGAAAGAAAGCATGCAGCTGCAGCAGGTAGTAAGGGTGTATTGGCCTTCATAGCGAAAGGATTCGAGTATAGGAGCAAGGATGTCTTGCTGTAGTTACACAGAGCATCGTGAGGCCACATTGGAATATTGTGTGCAGTTTGTCTCCTTGTCCGAGAAAGAATGTTCTTGCTATAGAGCGAGTGCAGCAAACGTTTACTAAATTGATTCCTGGGATGGTAGGACTGACATATGAAGAGAGATTCAGTTGGTTAGGATTATATTCGCTGGAGTTTAGAACAATAGTGGGGTTGGGGGGGGAATCTCAGAAACCTGTAAAATCCTAACAGGACTAGACAGGTTAGATGCAGGAAAGACGTTCCCGATGGTGGGAGAGTCCAGAATCAAGGATCATAGTTTAAGGATAAAGGGGTAAACTAGGACTAAGATGACGAGAAATCTCTTCACCCACACAGAATGGTGAGTCTATGGAATTCACTACCACAAAGTGGTTGAGACCAAAATATTGTGCATTTTCAAGGGAGGTGGTAGTTATAGCTCTTGTGGCTAAAGGGATCAAGGGATATGGGGGAGGGCAGGATTGGGGCATTGAGCTCGAAGATCAACCATGATCATACTGAATGAGAGAGCAGGCTCAAGGGTGGAATGGCCTACTTCTGCACCAATCTTCCAGGTTTCTATTACTGGAATCAGATGGGTGACTCAAGATAATTGAAGAAGCTGGTGTGGTTCAACTTGATTTCCTCTGATGGCAGGAGCTGAGAGAGAGCGCGCGCGAGAGAGCGAGCAAAGAGTTGCGGGTTACCCTTAAAATTAAAGCTAGACTGCTGGGAGTTGATATCAGGTCTGTCAAGTTACACATTCACAGGACATTGGTCCAAAGACATCAACAGAATTAAAGGTACAGATCATACACAAGCTGATGGAATGATATAAAATAGTCAAGGTCTTTTCTCCAGGATAGGGGAGCCCAAAACTAGAGGGCACAGGTTTAAGGTGAGAGGAGAAAGATTTTAAGGGGACCTAAGGGGCAACTTTTTCATGCAGAGAGTGGTGTGTGTATGGAATGAGCTGCCAAAGGAAGTGGTAGAGGTTGGTACAATTATAACAACATTTAAAAGGCATCTGGATGGGTAGATAAATAGCAAGGGTTTAGAGGGAAATGCACCAAATGCTGGCAAATGGGACCAGACTAATTTAGGATATCTGGTCGGTATGGGCGAGTTGGACCAAAGGGTCTGTTTCTGTGCTGTATATCTCTATGATTCTAAGCCATCTCGAGAGGCCAAATGGTCACTACTGTCTATGATTATTTTCGGTTCTGCTCAGCTTGCAAAACAAGACTTTGCATGGGCCACATGCAGGGGAAAAACTGAAGGTCAAGGCATGAGTCATGTTTTCCCACATTTTTCAACATAATGTCACCCCACCCCCCCCAACCAGCCCAGTTATTTCCCTCCATTCTGGCTTGTCAAACAAGAGGGCACCCACAACCTCTGGGAACCAAGTGAACAACTATAATGATCGAGAACCTTTCAAAGGTATGTGGTGACATGCTGATTGACCACAGACTGCATCACAACTGGCTTGATTCGAGTCACCACCATAACGTACATCAAAACAATGCTGAGGGATTTGGGGAGGGGGGAGAAGTCAGAAGGGGGTGCAAACAGAACTTGAATCTGTAACCATTTTTTGTTAAATTAATTCATGGGATGTGGCCATCACTGGATGGGTCAGTATTTAATGCCCATCCCTAACTGTATGGAGGTGGTTTTGGTGAGCTTCCTTCTTGAACTATTGCAGTCTAATTGCCTTAGGTCCAACCACAGTGCTGTTAGGGAGGCAGTTCCAGGATTCTGACCCAGTGACAGTGAAGGAACGGCAAAATATTTCCAAGTCAGGATGGTGAGTGACTTGGAGGGGAACTTGCAGATGGTGTTCCCAAGTATCTACTGCCCTTGTCCTTCTAGACGGAAATGGTTAAGAGTTTGGAAGGTGCTGTCTCGAGATCTTTGGTGAATTTCTGCAGTGCATCTTGTACATGGTACACACTGCTGCTACTGAGCATCGGCGGTGGGAGGGAATGGATGTGGTGTCAATCAAGTGGGCTGCTTTGTCCTGGATGGCAACAAGCTTCGAGTGTTGTTGGAGCTGTACTCATCCAAGCAAATGGGTAATGTCCTATCATACTCCTGACTTGTGCCTTGTCAATGACGGACAAGCTTTGGAGAATCAGGAGCTGAGTTACTTGCTGCAGTATTCGTAGCACCTGACCTACTCTTGTAGCCACTCTATTGATATGGAGAGTCCAGTTCAGTTTGTGGTTAATGGCAAGCCCCAGAATATTTTTCCTGACTTATCACTTATAGTTCACCTTTGGCTGAGGTCCATTCAGGGTCTGAGTGCCGTACTTGGATATTTAAATGGTTGTAAGTGAAGATGTGAAAGGGGTAGCATCGATAAGTCTCTGATCAAAAGAATCTGCCTGCCCGTCCCCGATACTTACATTCCTCCCGGGTGTAGTGCCGATGACAGCTGGCCTCCACCCTGCTGTGGTTTCCTGCTGCGAGCGGAGATTCTGCCCCGTGCCCCCGCTCCTTAGGTGGCCAGTGAACATCTAAACCTCGAAACCTGTCGACAGCCACCCCCAGCATTCCCTGACGGAAGTCTGATGGCACATCCTGCTCCAAAATCCCCTGCCCGCACTTGGAGTAGCCCGGTGAGCTCCCGTTGAGCCAGCGTGGGGAGTACCGGGGTAACTGCAGGCCGTTCACCTGGGGGAAGTGTGTCCTGAGTGCGCTTGGCTGGTGGTCGTGACCCTTGACCTGCTCCTGCCCACACTCCCGGAGGTCAGGGCGTGAGTGCTGGTTTTGTGCATACTGAATAATGCGGCTGATCTTCCTGCTCAGGATCTCCTTCACATCTCTGTAGGTGCTCTTCGATACTCTCGGCTGGGGGAGGTCCTGGTTGGCGATGAGGTGAAATTTTTCGAAGCACTCTCTGTGACCATGCACCGATTCAGTGTGGAGGAGATTTTCCCTGGCTACCCCTGAAAGACACAGGATCAAAAAAAAAAAAACACTTACACCAGTCCTCCAAACAACAGACACTTGGCTATGGAGTCAAATAATTGGTCAAATTCTTGACCCTTGCAACAACCTCAATTCATAAAGTGTTCGGGGCGGCATGGTGCCTCAGCGGTTAGCACTGCTGTCTCACGGCATCTGGGATCAGAGTTCAATTCTGCCTTTGGGTGACTGTTCTCCCAGTGTCCATGTAGGTTTCCTCCGGGTGCTCCGGTTTCCTCCCACAGTCCAAAGATGTGCAGGTTAGGTGGACTGGCCATGCTAAATTGCCCATAGTGTCCAGGGATGGGCAGACTAGGTGGATTAGGCATGGGAAATGCAGGGTTACAGGGATGGGGTAGGGGGTGGGTCTGGTTGGGATACTCTTCAGAGAGTCGATTTGGACTTGATGGGCCAAAAGGCCCAATTTTGTGCAGTAGGGGATCTATGATTTGTGAGCGCTTTCAAGAGCTTATCATTGCGTTCATGATGAAAATATTGTGCATTTTTAAGGAGGTGGTAGTTATAGCTCTTGTGGCTAAAGGGATCAAGGGATATCGGGGAGGGCAGGATTGGGACATTGAGGTCGAAGATCAACCATGGATCATACTGAATGAGAGAGTAGGGTCAAGGGTGGAATGACAAGTGACCATCAAATTTGATCAAAGAGGTCAGCTTTACACAGGAAGAGGGACTTCAGAAGGGGTTTTCACTGCTTAGGCCAGAGGCAGAGGCAGAGGCAGTCAAAGAAAGAGCGACTGCTGATTCAGAGAGCAGGGTGACAGGACAGAAGGAGGGGTGGAGAGAAGCGACAGGAGAGAAGGGAGAGGGGGTAAAACAACGGCAGATAAGGGCAGGGGGATGTAGCTAAAGAAGTGGGGGGAGGAAGAGGAGCTGGTTGTTGTACCTACCCAAAGCTGACCAGCTTTCTTTGCTATCTGTAAAGCGTGGACACTGGGCAGACATGTGCAGGAAATCTGCTTCCAAACACAAAGCCAGATCAGAGAACAAACAGATGACCACCAATGCAGCACTAGACCGTCAGCAAGTTTAAGTGTACAAAGGCGAATCCAATCAAGCGATCGACAAACCTCAGAAGATGACCAAGCTTTCCATATCATTAACCAGGGGAGGTGATGGCTTAGTGGTATTAAATTGCTGGACTGATGATCCAGAGAGCCAGATAATGTTCTGGAGACGCAGGTTCAAATCCTGTCATGGCAGATGGTAGAATTTGAATCCAATAAATATCTGGAATTAAGAATCTAATGGATGACTGTGAATCTATTGCCAATTGTTAGAAAAACTCATCTGGTTCACTAGTGCCCTTTAGGGAAGGAAACTACCATCCCTACCTGGTCTGGCCTACATGTGGTTGACTCTTAACTGCCCTCTAGGCAATTAGGGATGGGCAATAAATTCTGCCTAGCCAGTGATGCCCTCATCCCGTGAATGAATAAAAGAAAAAAAAAATAAGCGGGTTGAGAGAAAAAGCTGATCAGAAGCTTTTCTGACCATTAATATCTTATCACAGGTCCTGAAACACTAGGAGAACACGTACAAAGCTTAGAATCACATTACCATTATGCACTGTTGAAAGACATGCATCTCAGCAGGTGGCACTCGAAGGGGCAGACTGTCAGACACCACACAATATATCACCAGTTCTGTGCATTAGCATAATCATGGTACACTGCCCATACACAATCTCCTCTCGGTTATCCGGAAATCTTCGACCTGTAGATATCAATGGTCCTGAAGTAGCAGGACTACCCGTGCAATGAGATATGAACATGGATCGTGTTACAACGTGAGAAGAACATCAAGGTGCCACTCTGGTGTACCAGTTAACGCAAATTAGCCTGAAGTCATAAAGGCTGAATATTCTGTGTAGCCAGAGGACAACTGCTAGCGGAGTTTGTACCCATTAAAAGGAGTTAGACACTGTAAAGAGATGCGAGTCAAACAAGAGGAACGAGTTGATATTTCATTGCAACTAATGTACAGATGGAGCCTACTTGACCCAAAATGACCCATGACAAGAGTTATACTCCACATAAGCCTCCTCCAACTTTGTTCATCTCACCTTATTAGCGCCTTTCTATTGCTTTCTCCTTTAAACACTCAACTGGCTTATGCTTAAATTCATCTACATCATTCACCTTTAGATTCACCTGCACATTGCAGCAACTCTCTGGAATTCCCTGCAATTAATTTTCTGATTTAATTACTATTTTATATGCTCAACCCCCAAGTTTTAGTCTCTCCCAAAAGAGGAAAGAACGTGTTCTCTCCACCCTTGAACCTTAAGCCACTTATTTTTTAAAGAAAGGAACTTTAGTCTTTTTCAGGTTTTCGTGACAGGCATAATTTCTCAGCCCTGTCACAAACATTTGCTGTTCTGTTTTTGGCAGGTAGTCCTGCTGCTGGTTCAAAACAAAAGAAAGTAAGAGTAAGTGTCTCCACTCCTTCCCCACCGCCCTTCCTGTCTGACATCTCTCTGCAGGTTGCAGCAAGTTTGCTCATATAAGTTGCCACATCTGCAGTTTCATCAAAAGCTGAATTTCACAGAACTCAGCAACCACAAGATGAGACCCCACCAGTGTGCAACCTATCAGCACACAATCAACCGAGGTGCAATTGACAGAGAGATCAATTCAGTCACTTCAGGAAGGAAGTAAAATGCAGGATTTGTGGCTTTGCATTGTTCTATTGAGGGGCTCTCGGTTTTTCCTTACTGTCAGTTGTTTGGCTTTAATTAAAAGCTGTACTATTAATTCCCTCCTTCTCTCCAAGACACCAGCTGTCTCAGACTTACACAGCAGTGGTGTGTGCGTCTAGACAAGATGGATTAGCAGGCATTTTGGAACTAGGTTATTGAAAAGAGAAGATTAATAAAAAAAAGCTGAATCTAACCCTATTTTTAGTCCATCTTCATGCACGTTGACTTCTGATCACCATCCAGTGAAAGTCAGCTAGAACATTCTGCACATTTACCCAGGAATGTGACCACATTGTAACACCTTAGTCACTCTTCCAGCATAACCTAATGAGCTAATTCAGCACAGTCTAAGAACAGAACCTGCATCAGACCTCTGGTCAACACAAGGGGAGATGGTGGCAGATTTGTACTATTGCTGGACTAGAAACACAGGCAATTTTCCAGGAACATGGGTACAAATCCCATTGCATTAATACATCTGAGAAATGAAGTTTATTTCAGTAATGGCGAGCATGAAACTTAAAATCCATCAGATTCACCAAGTCTTTTTAGGGAAGGAATCCTGCCATCATTCCATGGCCTATCCTCCATGTGACCCCAGACCCACGGCACTTCTTAGGAGCTAATGATGCTCTGAACAGGAGTCATCTGGAATTGAAACGTTAGCCTGCTTTCTCTCCACGGATGCTGCCTGACCTGTTGTGATCTTCAGCACTTCTTATTGCTTCTTAATTGCCCTCATGGGCAATAAATGCCCTCATCCCAAGTTAGATTAAAAACACAAGCAGCTCAATACCATCCAGGACAAAGCAGTCCACTTGAAAAATCACCTTCTTAGGTAGTTTCTGGGCTCCAAGTGATCCTGTGAAATAAATTTTAAAAGCGTCCTTAACTTTTCTTCAAGCTAGTGAAAATGTCGTGACAAATAATCCACTTTTTCACACCCAAGCGATTCTTTCTGCTCACTCCCCACCTCTTCGTCGACAACAGCTATTTAAGCAAATCAACCCACACTGGGGAACTCTGGATTAAAACAAAAATGCAGAAACAATAATGCAACATAACCAGGAAACACCTGTCGCTATCGTCACCACATCCTCAAAACTTGGCAACAGATACATCACAGGTTGACAAGAGGGAGGGGGAAATGGGAAAGGAGTTGGAATGGTGGGAAGGGATAACACAGAGTAGGAGTTGGGAGTGGGAACAGGAGGGGGATGAGCAGGGGGAATAGGGGTGGGGGGTGGGGCAAGAAAAAGGAGAGAATTTCCTTAATGCCCATTGCTTCCACTGGGCTCTGTTTCTAGTGGTCAAAGAAAGAGCACAACTTGGAAACAATCTCAATTCAATTGAAATCACACCTTCTACTGTTAACATGAACAATAGACAGTGCTGCATGTCAGAAATGTTGTTATTTTTAAACAAGTAGATGTTAAAAACTGAGGCCCCAGTTACCTCTTCAAAAACAGACATAAAAAGATCTCATGACATTGTTCTGATCAAAAGCAGAGGGGTTTCTAGTGTCCAGACCAATATTTATCATACAAATCAAAATAACTTGAACACATTATATTTGTTAGTGATCAAATTGTTGATCATGGGAGTTTGCTGTGCATAAATTGGTTGCAGAGTTTACTATATTAAAAGACAACTATACTTCAAGAGGTGTAGGTATAGTGGATTGAAAAGCTTAACAAATGCAAGTCCTATATTTCATTGACCTGTGGTTAGCTGTTGGGCATTTGGCTAGGCTAGCATTAAATGAATCAGACAAGGATGGAGTCAGAGTCATACAGCACAGAAACAGGTCCTTTGGCTCACCATGACTATACTGACCAACAGATGACACTAATCCCATTTACCTGCACTTGGTCTGTAGCCTGCTATGTCCTGGCACTTTTATCCAGATGCTGTTTAATACTGCAAGAGTACCTGCCTCCACAACCTTCTCAAACAACACGTTCTACATTTCTAACATCCTCTGGGTAAAATTTTTATCCACCCCCTAGATTTCTTCTAAACCACCTTGCACCTCACCTCAAAGCTTATGCTCTCTAGTTCTGGGCATATCAGCCATGAGGAAAAGAATCTCTGGCCTACTCTGTGCCTGTCATAATTTTGTGTATCTCAATCAGATCATCCTCTCAGCCTCCTCTGCTCCAGGGAAAACAAACTTGGCCTATCCATTCTCTCCTCATGCCTGGGAATGGAAAGTCTTAGTTAACATCCTCTCCAGTGCCATCACGTACTTCCAATAGCGTG